GTCTACAAGACATTTAGAGAAGAACTACTGCCACTACTCTTTAAACTTTTCAATGAAATTGAAAGGGAAGCAAGACTTCCAAATTCATTCCTGGAAGCAAGTGTCACTTTGATTCCAAAACCAGGGAAAGATATCAACCAAAAAAGAGAACTACAGGCCAATCTCCTTAATGAACACAGATGCAAAATCCTCAATAAGATACTGGCAAACAGAATACAGAGGGCCATCAAGAAGATCATACACCCTGACGTATTTGGATTTATTCCAGGGATGCAAGGATGGTTCAAATGTAAATGAATAAATGGAATACACTATTTTAACAGAGTCAAGGATAAAAACTATACGATCATCTCAATAGATGCAGAAAAAGCATTTGACAAAATTCACACCCATTCATGATAAAAAAAAAACTGCAGAAAATTGGAATAGATGGTCTTTATCTCAACTTGATATCAAAAGGCTATCTATGAAAAATCAACAGCCAACATCATATAAAATGGCCAAAAACTGAAAACCTTCACATTCAAATCAGGAACAAGACAAGGATGCCCACTATCACCACTCCTGTCCAATATAGTTCTGGAAACATTAACCACAACAATTAGATAAGAGAAAGAAATCAAAGCCATAAAGATAGGAAACGAAGAAGTGAAACTGTCATTATTTGCTAACGATATGACATTCTATATAGAAGACCCAAAAAATTCCACCTAAAGACTTCTAGACTTAAATGACACTTTCAGCAGAGTAGCTGGATACAAGGTCAACACTCAAAAAATCAATAGCCTTCTTATACACAAATAACAGACTCACTGAGAGAGAAATTGGGGAAACAATCCCTTTCACAATAGCATCCAAAAAAATGAAATATCTAGGAATCAATCTAACGAAAGAAGCAAAAGAGCTCTACACTGAAAACTACAGCATTCTGAAAAAAGAGATCGAAAAGGATATAAGAAAATGGAAAGATATCCGCTGCTCCTGGGTAGGAAGAATAACATAGTGAAAATGGCCATACTACCAAAACTGCTATACAGATTCAATGCAATGCCAATTGAAATTCCAATTCCAACAGTATATTTTACAGAACTAGAGAAAATAATCCAAAAATTCATTTGGAACCAGAAGAGACCTAGAACAGCAAAAGCCATCTTAGGCAACAGAGACATGGCAGCGGGTATAACAATTCCCAATCTGAAACTATACTACAAAGCCACTGTGATAAAAACAGCATGGTACTGGCAAAGAAACAGACCTGAGGGTCAGTGGAATAGATGGGAAGATACAGAAACAACTCCAGATGCACTCAGCTACCTCATCTTTGACAAAGGAGCCAAACATCCTCAGTGAAGGAGAGATAGCCTCTCTAATAAATGGTGTTGGAAAAACTGGATTTCAACCTGCCAAAGATGAAAACTAGACTCCTATCTTTTACCATGCACTAAACTAAAATCCAAGTGGATTAAAGATCTAAATATTAAAAAAGAGACACTAAATCTGCTGGAAGATGAGTTAGGCAGAACTCTCAAAGACACTGGCATAGGAAAAGACTTTATGAACAAATCCTCATTAGCATGGCAACTAGCAGAAAGAATCAACAACCGAGATCTCATCTTATTAAAAAGCTTCTGCACTGTAAAAGCCACCACCAACAGAGTTAAGAGACAACCTTCAATGTGGGAAAAATTTTTACCAGCTGCTTCTCAGACAAAAGGCTCTTATCTAGAATATATAAAGAACTCAAAATAATCTGCCCCCGAAATGTAAAGACCCGACTCAAAAATGGGCATCTGAAATGAACAGACATTTCTCAGACAAAGAAGTAAAAGCAGCAAGTAAATATATGAAAAAAAGTTCCACATCACTGGTCATTTGAGAGATGCAGATGAAAACAACACTGAGATTCCACCTCACCCCACAAAGAATGGCTGCCATCAAGAAATCAACCAATATTAAATGTTGGCACAGTTGTGGGGAGAAAGGAACCCTTCTCCATTGTTGGTGGGAGTGCAGACTGGTGCAACCACTATGGAAATCACTATGGAGATACCTCAAAGAACTAGGATTGGAGGTTCCATTTGACCCAGCCATCCCTCTGCTGGGTATCTTTCCAAAAGAATTAAAAGAATCATACCACAGTGATATATATGCTCACCCATGTTTAGAGCAGCACAGTTTGTAATAGCTAAAACTTGGAAACAGCCCAACTATCAGTTGGAGACTAAATAAAGATGTGGTTGTTCTATAAAATGGGGTACTACTCAGGCATAAAGAATGAAAAACTAGAGTCATTCATAGGAAAATGGATGCATATTGAGGTCATACTTTTAAGTGAAATAAATAAATGTGTAAATACCAAATAGTTTCTCTGGTGTGAAAAACTAAAAGTATGTAAGATCCAAATGGTATAATTTACAATGTGAAATAGGAAGAAAAGGACTAAAGGTGTAGGGGAAGTGAGAAGGGTAGGGGAAAGGAAGTAAAGGAAAAGAAAAAATATGAGAAAATGGAAAAAAAGTTTTTGTAACAGGAAAGGGAGGAGGGGGTGAAGGGAGGGCGGGGGTACGGGGAAGAAATGAGAATCAAGATCCGTCATGTAAAGGTACAAGGCCCCAATAATGAATGTACCTGTACTGTATACCTAAAATGTACTGATAAACTCAATGAGGAAAAGAAAAGAAAAGAAAAGACACGAGGAGCTTTCGATGCATATTAGTAAGTGAAAGGGCTGCAGACTATGATTACAACTCTATGATATTTTGGAAACGGCTAACTACGTAGATAGTGAAAAGATCAATGGTACGTGTATGAGCCTGAGAAAGTGCTGTTCTCTGGCCTTGGACACGTGGACACACAGCCGGCTGGAAAGGCTGAGCAGAGGTGACAAAATCCCGAAGGAGAGGCCACGTCTATGCCACAACAATCTCATCAAGTGGGGACCACATTCTTATGCCCCGGTGGGGCAGATCGACATGCTGCAGCTAGCCACACATCGCCATCACTTACTTCACCAGTGACAGCTCACTGCAGGCACCTCTGTGCTCATTCACTCTCTGGGAACCATCGGAAACGCTTCACCACCACCTCGGACTGGAATGCAGAACAGCCTTCCCCACCCACTTCATTCAGTTAACCCACGATCATGGGACTCACGTTACCAATGCTCAAACGGACATGAAGAAAACCAATGAAGAGACAAATCATGTGACTTCTAGGTTCTCTTCCGAGGTAAATAAATATAAGATACTGCGATGTTCTACACACACACACACACTTTCACAGTGTCTAAAGTCAGGGGAGGAAGAAAGAGGTCAATTTTCTGACTTTACCAATACCACCTTCAGGTCCTGGAATTGCATGGAACACTGCAGATTCCTGGGTCAACTCTGTGAAGCAGAGATGGGTCCCTGCTTCCTCCTGACGTCCACTGAAGTGATGTCCTCAGGTTCTGTCATCCTCTCCCCCTGCTGGAGAGTTCCCTGTCCTCGGTATGGCTGACAGCATCTCTGCCTGTTCCCAAGACCACAGCCAGATGCTGCCCACACCTACTGTCCGCCCTGAGCCTTCCTGGTACATGGAGAGGTTTGCAGTGACAGCAGGAGGGGGTTGGGAGAGGTGGGAAGAGATGCAGCTTGGAGCTGGGGGGGTTCCCATCCCAGAGTGGGGAAAAAGCAGAAGCCAAAACTGGGTGAAAAAGTCCAGCTGCACCTGAGTGAGATAACACGGGTGTGGCTGCCCCTTCTCTCACCAGCCGTGGGGGAGGAGCAACTGGTGCGCTGACAGCTCCCAGCCTCACCTGGAGAGGTGAGGAGAGAAACCACCCGCCCGGGTCATGGGCAGCCCACACTGTCAGCCCACAGAGCTGCAGTGAGGACCGAGAGCTGAGCTCACCTCCCACCCTGTCAGTGGCTTCCGATGCTGACAGTGAAGACGTCCAGAAAAGAAAGACCATGTGCCTGCCTTGAGGCAGAGGTGGGACTGGAGAAAATGTCCTTCTGGGAATCCTCTTCAAATCTCTCCCCAAACAGCTGACTCCAGCGAAGTGGGCCAGACCCGGCGTGTTCACAACTTTCAACTGTCCCCCCTTTCTGGATGCTGCCACAGTTCACATTCACAACTTCACAGCTCAGCACCTCCGAAGGCTCCTCCCTTCTCTTTTTTCTCCCTCCAAGGCTGGCATGGGTCGTTGGCAGGGAGCCAGAGGGGTCAGCAGGAGCTCTTGGCCAGTTTCTCACAGCAACAGGAGATGCACAGGGAGCTGCACGCTGCCACCACAGGGGAAACTAAGGAACAGAGGGGCTTCTGGAGCTGCCCTACTTGGATGTGAAAGTCAGCTCTCCCCTTAGTTTCTGTATGACTCGGAAAGTCCGCACTGTAAAATGTGGACAGTAGCAGCTCCCACCACCTAGGCTGTGAAGAGCGTGAAAGGGGTGCCCTTAGCATAATACCTGTACACAGAAACCGACCAACAAGAACCACTATTCCACTTACCACGAGGCCTCTGCATCCAGTTCCCGAAGTGTCCCCGTGCAGCACGGCCATCTTTTGGAAGTAACAGTGAAATCTGTCATTCTGTTCGAAACTCTTCCACGCACTGTATCTCACCGTCAGCAGGAAATGGATCCTGTAAGCCTCTAGGGCTGTCTGTGGTCACCTCTAGTACTCTCGGCTTCTCCCTCTCACTCATTACTTCCGTGGTGCTCAAAGTCCCAGCTCAAATGTCAGGTCCTCAAAGAAGCTCTCCCTGACCACCCCTTTCTTCCTCCCACTGATCTTCAATCTGTAATTGCTTTACTGATTTATTATTTGTGGCCCCACTAAAATGTACCTCTTTGAAGGCAGGAGGGCACATTACTGCCCATGGCCTTTGGTGCTTTGGAGATGAAGTTGGCCTGGTGGCCTGCCCAGGAAAGCTGAGCAGCACGGCTCCATGCTCCAAAGCTTCCAGGTAAGGCCTGGCCCTCTGAACATACACAGATACTGCACAAGGAGCCCAGGGGTCCAAAGTAAACATTTTTATTCTCTATTCTGCCTTAGGTGTTCTAGTTTTGCAAGCACAAATACATGGAATCAACAATAATTCTCTCTTTAAATGTCTTTCATTAAAAGTTGACAATGAAAAAAGCTTCCTGTTTTTCCTAAAGAGTGTGATTTGAGGGAAACCTAAAAGGAGGCCTGGGGACTGCAGTCACACGGGGATTAATCATCACATCTCCTGCCAATTCCTCTCTCACTAAGCAGAGAAAGGCCTCAGGCATCTATAAATAGCAGCCCAGCAGCTCTGTCCTTCCAATGAGGGTAAGAACTTGGTGATGAGGAGAGACAGGAAGGGTGAGGTGGGCACAGAACCACTGGCCCAGTGTCTGCCCACACCGGGGCGTGTGAGCCTCAGGAATGCTGTGAAAACCAGCAGAGAACAGAGGTCACTGTCTTCCCCTCCATCTCGGTGCACCAAAACCCAAGAGGCCTGAAGAACCTGTTCGCTCACTCTTAAGGTCCCTCAGTGCACAAAAAGGGGAGCCAAAGAGTGGGAACAGAAGGGCTCCAGAATGCCCCATATTCAAGGGGTTCCCAGAGGATGACCTCAACTCCCAGCAAGGGAACAGCAGGGAAGAGGGGCATCGTTGTCCTTGAAGCGGCCTTCTCTCCCCACTGGTTCACAGGACAGTCTCGCGGATGACTCCGATGAGGCTGTGTGGCCGCTCAGCCTCCACTCTCCGGGGCCTCCTGCTGCTTCTGGGCCTCCCCATGGGAGGAGTGAAGGTGCTTAGGTCCCCGCAGCTCCACAGGTGCAGCAGGCCAGGCTGGCTTCTCAAGGGTAGCACATGGGCCTGGGACGTGCTGGGCTGTGATGGAGCCATTATCTTTGGGAAAACAAGGAGAGGAGGTAGAGAGGTTAAGCTTCACCAAGCCGGCCCTCTGACCTGCCTCTCATATCCACCCCTGTATTTTAATGTATGTTTTTTTTTTTTCCCAGTCCACTTTAATGTTGAAGTGCTTCAGAAAAGAAAAGAGTGGTTTCTCAAGGTACAGCCTACTTGGAATCCCAGAGGTACTTTTAAGTGCTGTCTCTTTTCTAAAATAACTAAAAGTTTTCCTCTAAGTTTTCTATTGTTTGTACTACATCCCTGCCCACTTACTAACTGGTCAACTGCAATTTCTTGCTTCCTATTTAACAGTCTCCTCTTCATGTTTCTCCAGTCTCCCTGTGGCCCAAGCTAGTGAGTCTCATTACTGTGGAAGTGTGGGGGTCACAGGTGTATGAATTTCTACCACTAACACTGATAATGCAGGCAAGCCTGAGCATTAGTAATTTTAATTAAGAACCCAGTGAAACCAAGGCACTTGAAAATTTGAAAACTACTGGCACGGTCAGGTAACGAGTTAATAAAATGTCAACCGAAACCAACAAGGCCTTGGATGGATCAGATAGCTGTTCAATAAACAACATAAAAACTAAGCCAATTTATTTGTCTAAAAAAAAACTGTTTAACAATTGTTCTACCGCTAGATCTGTTTTGCAATGAATGTATCACACACACAACTTTGGCCAAATGATGGGAAATTCCTCATCCAATTGGCACAGACGAGGGAGGGTTACAAGAACTGTCCAGTTACAAGAACTTTGGAAATTTGCCCAGCCATGTCTATAGGACCTGTCATGGTGCTAGTACCTTGGGACTCAGGAGACTTATTACCACTTAGTGTCCCAGAACAATCATTTCTCTGGGTTCTCCGCTATGCTAGTCTAAGCATTTAAGGTCATTAAAAGGTTTATCTCTGAAAAGATAGGATATTAAGTTTTGCTCTCTACTAACTATATTTGTCTTTGTGGCCTGTCCTTGTCTCTTGACTAAGAAACTCCAACATCCATTACAACTGACTGTGATACATGGTAATTTAGGACAAGAGTTTTTTCTATTGGGAAAAAATCAAAATGGACCTAAAAACTCACCCTAATCAATGAAGATAGTGAAAGTGTGCAAAGCTGGCTAGAATCAGAAATGAAAAGTCCCTTGCCAATGTCCTTGGCTTCCTTTTGTCTGTGGAGGGATGTGGCATCATGAGGCCCCATCACTGGCGTTCAGAACAGGAAGGGCCCAGCAGATGGCCCAGAGTCTGTTGCAATCATTTCAGTATTTGAATGTTTAACCAGTCTGGGGAACAAGGATCTACCAAGCATCTGTAACTGCAGCATGTACAGAACCGTGAGTGCCCAGCCTATTCTCCCATAGAGTGAGCCTTGGCAAAAGGTCCACCCACTGCCAGGCAGATACTCCAGCTCTTTCCCCATCAAAGCTTGGTGTCCTTCCAGATGCCTGCACCTGTGTTTTGGACCACTGAGATTGAACAGAGGGATGTAGTATAAAATGACAACTGGAATAGCTCAGGGTCATCAGGATGCACGGGTCTCTCCTATGCAGGCTAACAACTGCAGCCTGACCCACAGCCTCGGACTTCCCACTCCTTTAGAAAATAAACCAGATAGAGGCTGGAGTTCAAGGACCTCTTCCTACAAATAATCAGACAACTCTTCTCACTTGGGTCCTTGAAGGACAGGGGGAGAATTTGGCTTCTGGCTTTGCTTCAGTAAGAAAAGCCCTAGTACACAAGAGCCTAAGGAGATAATTAACAATGTGAAATAGGAAGAAAAGGGCTAAAGGTGTAGGGAAAGTGGGAAGGGTAGGGGAAAGGGAATAAAGGAAAAGAAAAAAATATGAGAAAATGAAAAAATGGAAATAAAGCGTTTGTAATTGGGGAGGGGGGAAGGGGGTGAAGGGAGGGCAGGGACAAGGGGAAAAAATGAGAACCAAGACCTGTCATGTAGAGGTACAAGATCCCAATGATGAATGTAACTGTACTGTATACCTAGAATGTACCAATAAACTCAATAAAAAGAAAAAAAAAAGAAAGAAAAAGAAAAGCCCAGCAGGTAGAAAGGGGGAACAGAAAAGGATTTATTCAACTTGCCTTAAAATTTTACCTAGGATCCTGGAGGTGGTAATTACTCTGAGAATTAGTGCAGGTCAACTTAAGTTGAGTAATGAAAGAATGTTCTGGAATGAAGGAGTCACTTAAAGAAGGGAAGACAGTGAAGAGAGACACGACTTGTGGGACGAGTGTGATGCCATGTTCACTGAGACAGTACCTTTGTCATAAACGTCCCAAGACCACAGACCCCTGTGTGCTGACGTCAATAGGGCCCACCCCACTGAGCATGGGAAAGGAGTCACCGTCACCCAAAAGGTGACAGCTTCCAAAACAGGTTCTTAGCAGAAGGGAATTCTATCACTGAGAGGTGCATCCACAGACACCATTGCATCTGACCCCTCATGTTAAAGATCAGAAACCTAACATGCAGACAGACCACGGGCATGTCCAATTTGATGTTTTCCATAGGTTACTTCTGTTCAGAATACAGTCTCTTTTACTTTTTTTTTTTTCTTTTCTTTTATGAGATAGGGCCTTACTATGTAGCCCAGGCTGGCCTCAAACTTACTACCCTCCTGCCTCAGCCTCCCGTGTGCTGAGATTACAGGCATGAACCACCACGCTCAGTTCCCTTTTCCTTTCAATCCTGTTGGCTCATTTACAGGGCCAAGCAATTTGTGGAAATGTGAACAGCTCCCAGAATCTTGCCAATATTAAGATTCACCTATGCCATTGTCCTCAAAGGGCTGAGGAAACAGGCCCATCAGAGGACTCTTCCCTTCAGGAAATCAGTGCTGAATGAGGTCTGAGCTGCCCAGACCCCACGTCTTTCCAGAAGTACTCCTACCTCCCAGAAAACTGGGCTCTCTTCCCTTGTGCCGAAACCACTGTGAAAACATCACCAAGCCTGAAAGGAAAGTTTAGTCTTCTTCCCCTTCCCCTGGCCTCCTAACCCCAGCTCCCTGACCACGAGCTTATTGAACCTTGGCTGGGAAATCAGAGAAACCACTTAAGCTGGTTCCAAGTTACTATGGGAACCAGTTATCAGAGTGTTGCTCACCATCAATAATAAAACTACCTGTTCAAGAAAACTGGCACTTGTGATCGCTTCCTCCATGTGCTCCTCATCGGACTTCAGAACAGATTTAATGTTCTCTACAAGTTCGTGGATGTCAGGGGTCATACTGCAGGAGGACTGCTCCAGGAACTTGGCCACCAGCAGCTTGGTATCTGTGTAAGACCTGTAATCTATCAGAGACCTGGGCCTGTATCGTGGTGCTCTCGGTCTCAGCCCTCTCCTCAGGGTCACTGCAGCCACGTCCAGTCTCCTTTCGGTCTGTGTTGCAGCTTCGCAGCTGAGCACTGGGGTGGCTGTGGGCAGACAAACAACATGAACCCACTGGCCGAGCCCCTCTGAACAAAGGCCACAAAACTCACCATGGAAAGCATGTGACAAATGTGAACAGTCATGCACATCTTGCTTTTCATCTTACGGAAGGGAAAGGAAGAAACAACAGTATGACATAAGCCTATTCCTTGAGCGCTCTTTCAATCAGGTATGTTCTGAGACATTTAACAGTGTCACATAAAACACAACCTTAGCCAAGACAGAGGACAGAGAGTAGAATCCAGAATGCAAACCATAATCAAGTGAGTTTCATGGAGTATGGCAGATAGATGGGAACGGACAAACCAAGCAGAAAAAAATATGGCTGAATGATGAAAGAATGTTCTGGAACGTAGAAGTCACTTAAAGAGAGGGAGAGAGTGAAGAGAGACAAGATTTGTGGGGTGAATGTAATGCCATGTTCACTGAGACAGTACCTTTGTCTTAAGCATCCTCAAAGGCACTGTACTGACTTCTATTACCGATGCTCACACCATGGCTATGAGGTAGATCTATGGCTGACTATTATAGAAAATACAGATGCAGAAAGATTACACACCACTCCTGAAGGCAACAGAGGACCTGGAAAATCCACAGTAACTCTAATTTCCATGACTACCTATAGCAACAAGGGTGTAAAGACCAGCAGAATGGTACTGCGCCGAGCAGTGGTTGAAGTGAAACTCAGGTCAGGTCTCCATGTGTCTGTCCATAAACCAGCCAGCACCCCTCAGTGTATCCAGCACTGGCCACTTCAATCTATGAAGGCCTAAGTGGGAAATTAGATACTGAAAGTTCAGGAAGCCGAGGTAAGAAAGCGGGTGGAGAAGAGGAGCACGTCTTTTCCTCTGCAGAAAGGTAGCCATGAGGAGCTCTAAACTGAGGTTAGAGGTCATCCTCCAAGGCTGCCATCTGCATGCTACAGAGAGCAAGAGTCTTCTGGAAACACATGGTAAAGACACGCATATGTGAGCAGAGTCAGGATCTACGCTCATTCCCATGAAGGCAACCTGGGGCCTCCCACACGAAACGATCCAAAGGGCCATCACATCGTTCTTGCCCTTGTAAGACTGCAGAGTGTGAAGGGGTTCCAGAAAGATCTCCCTCAGCAGGGCAAGCAGCTAAGTTCTCACAGAAGCTGGCAGGTGGCCAGCTCAAGTCTTCCCACCATGCAGGTGAGTGTGGGAATCAGCACCAGGCTGCCCAGCAGCAGGGGTTGCATGGAGAGGACGCTCAGTCCGGGAGGTGAGGCTTCCTCCCCAGCCCAGCGCTGCAGAGACACGAGGCGTATTCTCTATGGCTCCCACAGGGTCAGTCCAGAGCTGTGGCAAACAACACACAGTGTCAGAGGGACAGAGGGCAATGCAAGGGCTTGCACAGCCGGGAGACAGCAGAGTTAGAGGATGGCCAAAGCTCCATTTTAGAAAGGGTAGGAGTATTGGAGTTGTAGAACAGCAGAGGCCAACAACTAGACTAGTTCCCTAAAAGAACACCCCACTGATAAAATCAGAGATTTTCATTTTCTTCCTTTACTTCATTCTTTTCAATTTTCTATAATGACAAGATATTGGGAAATGGATATGGACTCATATATTCAAAAAAAGACTGAATGCTGTTATTTTTTTATTTTTAACTTATTCAAATAATGTTTCATCCCTGGTACCAAAAAAAAAAAAAAAAACTTATTCAAATAAGATCTACATACATGGCAAACTCAAACTGGAGAGGGAAGGAGACAAACTGTGTGTATTTCAAATTATTCAAAGTTCTTAAAATAGTTCAAGAATTCAACTGACACACACAGCAAAAAAGATAGCAAATACTTACCTTCAAAAGAAGGGGTGCAAACATACACCCCTCTGACTATTCCCACAGGGTTGCAAGCAGCTAGAAATTAGAACTAGGTTTCCATAATTTTCTTCCTGGAATACCTAGCATGGTTTCAGATGCAACCAAATGTTTTTGATGAGTGACTTAAAAAACATTCTGCCAGCCATAAAAGAAGTGAAAGATATATATTTCTAATTCAATGTCGAATGCAGAACCTTTTTTTCCCAAGACCTCTCAATCTCCTTCTAGATGCCACATAAACAGCTGCTTCTACCTGGCACCTTTAGACAAATGGGCACAGTGCTCTGAAAAGAGCTTGGGGAAGGGCATCACCTCTTTCCTCGGGATGGTGGAGCACAGGGTCACTCTTTGATCTGGTCCGTAGGGGTGGCAGGGCTCTCCGGCTTCTCGCGGGGTGAACTGGGTTTGAGTTGGGAGTCGGTAAGGATGCGCTTTCTTCTCCAGGTGTGCTAGAAATGTCCCCACCTGAATCATTTTAAATGGGAGAAACATAAATTATTTCACCAGCTGAAGGCTTCCAAATGTTTGGCAGGAAACACCTGTGAGCTCAAACCTGCCAGGGCAAGAGAAATACAGATAATAACATTTGCTTAGGCTGCCGGCCCAGGTCATAGTTCCCAGCACTATGGGAAAACCTGCCTCTCCACAACCACCCTGCCACACCCAAAACAAACAAACAAGAAGTATGAAGCCCAAGAGCCAAGAAGCCATGCCAGGACATCAGCTTTTTCTAAATCCTCTCCACAGATGCTTCCTAAGGCAACACTGAGAAACTCAAAACACGTCATGGTTTCTGACTACGTACTCAGGCCAAGCTTGCTTCAGGATGCCCTGCGTAGGGGCACTGGGCTGTGGCCACTAAACCAATCTGTGAAACTACCCTGGAATTGGATGACTTCGGCTCAGCAAATAAAATCATATCATTTGGGAGCCCAAGTCGTGGTTTGGAGAAGTCTCTAAGTGGAAGAATGACAAACATACTTAGAAGAGCTGAGCTCTGCTTCCTCACTGTCAAGACAAACGGTGGGTGGGCTAGGGGGCTCAGGGTGCAACTCAGCATGCATGAGACCCTGGTTCAATCCCTGGGACCAAAATTGAGGGAAAAATGGAGGGGAACAGAAATCCATTCCAAAAGCTACTGCTAAAAAATTACCTCCATCTAAAATAGCTAAAAGTTGATCCATTATTTATTATGATCTTCAATTTTGTCCTCGTGGACAATTCTCTAGGATGTTTAAAACCTCCCTAAAGAGAAAGCCATAACAGTGATACCCTGAAATCACAGGGATAGACATAAACTGACTCTAGGATTTACTACAGGGCTGGACATCAGTGTTCACCCAGTGTTAAAGCAGGATGACCGGGCCCTAGGTTATACATAACGTGGTGCAACCCCACAGCAGACCACTCTGCAATCAATGAAAGTTTTCTCCTTTACAGGAGAAAGAAAATGCAGACTGCGAAACACAGGAAGGCAAGATTAAACCCAAATCTAATTCACAGGTCCCTAAGCCTAGCCTGATCAGTCATAAAAGATTCTATCTCTTCTCTCCTGTTCACATATTATCTCCCACTTACAAGTATTTGCTAGCATTTCTGCCCCTGGAAAGAAGGATGTAGGCTGATTCACTTGCTCCACGAATATCTGACCTCCAAGCATTCACCAGACAGATGATTATTCTGTCTCTTTTTCATCTACAGATCCACGACTCTACGCAGTGACAGTACGTCCATTACCTTGAGTCGCTTGTGTACCAACTGGTTCCAAGGGGCTCGCAGCAGCTTCTGATATTTCTGGCACTTGGAAAGAAGATCCCTGCATCACAGGAAAGAAAAGGCTTATCTAGTTGATGTTCTCACAGCTCATGGCTTTGCAGAGAGCTCTTTAAAGCGATGTGCAGGGGACGGTCCCCCCACTGTTTTCCGGGATGCCTCATTTCCCGCTTGCAGTGAACATATTAAAGAAAGACGCTCTGGACGGTACCTGCTCCTGGTCCATCTGGCTCACCACAGCTTCATAGGGAGGTGGTGGGTCCAGAGGACAGAACACTTCCACTCCTTTGATCCGAGCTCCGTAGATATGTGGCAGTGGAATGACATCGGGACCAACCATCCTAGAGAGAGCATGCTGGCGTCAGGAAGCACATTCTACGCACTGGTCCTCAGCTGGCAGGGGTTCCTGGACACAGCCCTTGACCCCACCCAGACCACGGCGCTGCTCGGGAGAGGGAGAACAATCCATGCTGCTCTCTGAAAGCCTGCCCAGACCTCCCCAGGCAGGGGCCACATAGAAATGCAACACTGTCACTCCTGTCCACTCCACCACTCAGCACACACACAATCCACAGAACTGGAGGTGGATGAGTGGTTGCCAGGGTCTCCAGGGAGGGAACAGGGCGTGACTGTCTAGTGGGTATGGCATTTTCTTACAGATGACAAAAATGCTTCGGAACTAAAAAGAGGGAGTGGCTGTACAAAACGGTGAGCCCACAAAATCGTACATTTCAAAAGGGCTCAATTCATCTTACATGAAATTCACCTCCACTTACAGTAGACAGTTCGTTTCTGTAGCACTTGGGATCCAAGGCAGGGCCTTGAGCATGCTAGGAAAGTGCTCTGCCATTGGCTGTATATTTGGCCTCAATTTAAAAACAACAACCAACGCCAGCAGAACTCAGTGACCTCTTACATCACGACATGCGCGGTTTTCCCTAACGCCCGATTCAGGACAGAAACTCATTATTTGTTAAATAAATAACTGAAAGTATGAATTAATTGAAAACAAAAGGTGAACAATGTCCTGGCTCAGAGACAAAGGAGACTGTCCAACAAACACGGACAGAAGGCCTTCTCCATGCCAGGCACTGCACAACATGTGGGGCACTGGATGACTTTTTTTTTAAAAGGACTGTACTAAAGATAAGTCTAGGGGAAACGAAATAAAGGTTAATATTCTGTTTTCCCCTGAGTGTAATACAGTAAGCCCAGCCAAGTAGGCAAAAGGACTTCCTTTCGTTTGTAAGATGAACACCATTACCAGCACCACCAAAGCTGTAACTTCCTCAAGATTTCAGCAAAGACAAGTTTAAAGATTGTCACATTCACCCACACAGTGTGGGTATAGAGAAGCTCAACTTCTTAAGACACATTTACCCCATCTCCAGGGAACCTGGCTGAAACGTAACGGCTGCTGTTCTCTTGAAATGAATTTCTCCCCTGTACCTCTTTCCCAAGTTCTGCTGGCTGTCACTATTGACTTTCTTTTCTTCATTCTCTGGTCCTCTTGCATCCCTATCTCTGCTCTTTAAGTGGGGAAAGTTTAGGATTCTTTAGTCACTAAATATTAACTTCTTGTTTTTTGGCTTTATGAGACAGGGTCTTGCTACATGTGTAGCACAGGCTAGCCTCAAACTCACAGCGATCCTCCTGCCTCAGCCTCCTGAGTGCTGGGATTACAGGGGTGCACCACTATGACCAGCTACATTTTTTAAATTTACCAATAAAAGAACTATGATCTCCACACTTAAGAATTATGGATTTTTCTCTCTCAACTGCCTTCTTCTCACCAAATAAAGTCAGCTACTTTTTCCCTGGAAGTGTTGCTTAAATAACTGGATTTTCTAGTTCGTTTTGTTTGGCCCCTTGGGTGAGGGACCTCAATTGCAAAATAAAAAACAAAACCAAAACAAAGTCCACAATATTTCCTGCTGGTGTTCATGGAAAATTACACACACTTACACACACACACACACACACACGGGGTGGGGGCTAAATTCTAAATTTAAAAATATTATTACAAAATATTCTAAGACTTATACTCAGGTCATGGAATAGAGGAAAATGATAAAATCAGATGAACAGTTGATCTAATACAAAAAAAGAAAAACACTAAAAGAGACTGATGGAAAGTTTCATGCAGGGGATTACCCTGGGCAGGGTGGTATTCTCTGGATTTAAAATTGTTTCCTTTCATTCCTTGTGTCTATTTACAAAATGTGATTAGTGGAGGAAAAAAAGTGTAAAAAGATGTGGATTCTTTCTTCCTAACAATGAAACTTCTGAAATTCTGTTACTCAGAAGAATGACACTTCTATAGCTATAACGAAAAAGGAGAACGCACTCTCCTACTTTCCTTCATAAGTAAGACTCTCATGCCTGGCGTGACGTGAAGGGGAAGAAAGGAAGTTGCATGTTTACACCTAACCTGGGAGCGCTTGAAGGCAGGGTACACAACTTGCCAAACATCCAGTCTGTGGAGAAGCCCATCATGAAGGGCCTTCCTTTCAGGGGTCCTGGCAAAGTTATCCTGAAGGAGATATTGTTCCTTGCAAGAGGTGAGGGCATGGCTTTCACGCCAGATCTCTTAACCAGCTGAAGCTGTTTAAGATCTATAAATACTGAGAGACTGAGAAACCAGACCGTTCTAGGAGATAAACAGAAAATCTTTCCTGACCAATGAACAATGAAGCTGTTTCAATCAATGAGACCTAGGGACTCCTCAGTCCCCAATAAGAATGACCCCACAAGTCCTCTTTCCAGCCCTTACCAACCATCGCCAAATACAATGAAGCTTCCCCTAACAAATAATCAAAGAGAGGGGAATTCTGAGACAGAGGCAAAGATGTATCAGACAGCTGTGTCCAGAGTACATCACTGAAAAGCAGACAATGAAGCAATGCAAAAAAAAGAATTTCCATAACAGAAAAATAATTAAAGTCCATGAAAAGGCACAAACAGAAATTTAGGAGATTAAAAATTCCATTCAAAGTATGAGCAACAGAAGGAATCAGTGTGAAGGCAGACTGTCAGAACTAGAAGAAATGAATTATTCAGTGATGAATTATTGAGAGATATCTTAAAAATAAAAAAAACATGAAAAATGGATCCAATGGCTCCTACATAATGCAAAGAATACTAATCTAAGATTAATCAGACTTAATCAGAAGGCAGCACATATTGCATAAAAAACTTGTTTACAGAAATAAGAGCAGAAAGTTTTCCACATATGGGGAAGTAATTGTGTTTTTGGTTTTGATTTTTATTCATTTATTTATTTATTTATTTTGGTACCAGGGATGGAACTCGGAACCTTGTGCTTGTGAAGCAAGTGGTGGAACCACAGAGCTAAATCCCAGCCCTATGAGGAAATGATTTAACACAGAGATCCTTGAGGCATACAGAACTCCAAATAGCCACAATCAGAAAAGAACCTCACCACAACACATCATAGTCAAAATCTCAGAAGTCCAACACAAGAACAGAATTTTAAAAGGTGTTACAGAAAAGCAATGAATCACTTACAAATAACAATTGTAAGTTGAATTCATTTGATAATATGACAGAGTGAGTCTTATACAGCTTGACACAAATATACAGTGTATATTGTTTTATAGTTCCTAGCAGTCCCCTCCACATCACCACTGCTTTGGGGGTGGGTACCAGGGATCAAACTCTGGTCCTTGCACTTGTGAGGCAGGCACTAAGAATAGTCATTAGAGACTCAAAACCCAAAGTGCAGGGCCAGGGATTTGGCTCAGTGGTTCCTCTGCTTGCCTTGCAAGCGTAAGGACCCAAGTTCTATCCCTGGTAACAAAAAAAAAAAAAAAAA